ACTCTTTTTAAAAGCTGATCAGGTTTGCTCAGGTGAATAGGAATGCTTTCAAAATGTATTCTGCTTTGCTGAGCAGAATCAACAAATTTTTTCAGGGGATTGCAGTATTGCAGAGTTTGAGAACTCTTGCCATAAAAACATTTAATAATTCAAGACATAAAAATGCCCTGGTTTCAGATTTCATGTGTTAACCAAAACATGTCTAGGGTATTTTATTTTGGCAAATGAGACTTTTCTGTCTGGCAGATTCTGACATCTATCCAAACCTCTTTGTTCATTTACTTTACAGGTAGTCCTGGTTAACAATGGTAATTGGGACTTGGAATCTCTGTTGCTAAGCAATGCGGACTTAAAGTACAACCTCAAGGGACCACACTGCTTAGTGACGGCAGTCCTGGCGGTCCCCATTGCCACTGTTAAGTGAGGACTGCAGTTCGTTAAGAGACGACCTCCTTGTGACTTCCTGCTGGGTTCCAACAAGCAAAGTTAACGGGGAAGCCAGCAGGAAGTCATGAATCCTGGGTGGCTCGCAAGTAGGCTGGTGGATGGGTAAGTGGGTGCTGCAGCATGGTCCGAGTGCAGCTGGATTGGGGTGGCTGCTGCCCAGGGCGGAAGGGTGTGCAAGGAGCTGCCATGGTGGTCAGCTGGGGGCAACAGGTAGTGGAGCACAGGGCAGCGGGGTGGTGGTGGAAGGGGCAACAGAACTCAAGGCAGTGGGGGCAGCAAGGGCAGTGGAGTGCAGGGTGGCCAAAAGGGCAGAGATGGCGGGGGAGATAGGTGGGTATGGGGAATTGAAGCACCCTCAGAGTTGTAAATACAAGCAGGCTGCCAAGTACCCAAATTTTGATCACGTGACTGCGGAGGCACTGTAATAGCCGTAACTTCGAGGACCAGGCATAAGTACCATTTGTTCAGCGCTGTCATAACTTCAAGCAGTTGCTGAACGAATGGTTGTTAAGCAAGGACTACCTGTAGTTTTAGAAGTCTGGGTACCAGACCCACTATACAATAAAGAAGCAGATTCCTCCTTTCCCTCACCAGTGATTTACTTCTAAACTTATATCAAACAAATAAATTCTTGTTCTTTGTAACTTTTGTTTGTCTTGGGTGCAACTCATTTTTTGATGCAGATTCTTTTAGTATACAGTAGCTTTATCTAGAGCAAAACATAAATCTCAGTATAAAGGGATATAATTTTCTATCAAACAGTTCAAATTTCTGTACTTGCTGCTCTCTATATTTACTCTCTTTTATGCTTTTCTTTTGTTTCTCTAGGTATAAATGTTTTTCAGAAAGTTTAGCTAGCCTCTTCTAATTTATGCTGGAACTGCTTTATCAGCATATCTTTGTCCTCCACTTGTTCCATTTTCTCTCCTTTCTTTCTTTCAGCAACTGGGGCACTGAAAATGATGAGAATCAGGCTTACCACAATGGCAATTCAGACCCCAGGGGATTTGGTATGTTGTGAAAAAAGCCAAAATGTATTCATGTATGTCTTTTATTTCCAGAAATGTGCATTAATTTTCAAAAGAAAGAAAGAAAAAGCTCTATTCTAGCTTCAGATTTTTTCCCCATCTTTTCAGGGATGAAAGTTAATTGGCTAGATGATGAAAATTGTACATGGGTGAAATGGCTTTCTTATTCGTAATCTGTTTGTTTCCCTTCCTCCTAACAATCTGTAGTGTTTTGAACTTTAAACAGAAGATTTTGTGAGCATTTCTCCATGAAATAAAATAGTGGCGTTGGCTCTAGGATCAGCTGCCCCCAGCTTAATGCATCCAGCTGTATCCAGTTTCCATAATCCAAGAGCAGGCTTAAAGTTCTTTCTAGGTTGGCCTTCATTTGTTCAGAGCAAACCATATTTACAAATACTGTACAATTCTGCTGAAGAAACTATAGACAAAAAGAAAATTATACCTGATGATTATATTCATGATATCTGGATTTTATTTATTTTCATTATTTGCATACTGCCACATCTGTAGGTAATTCACAAAACAAAGTTATGAAACAGCAAAATCATAAAACTGCATCATAACATTTACTGGGGGGGGGGGAAACCCATTGAAAGCATATTGCCAAACAAATGGCAGACATATCACAATGCTCTGAAGGCTTGTCAAAACAGCTATGTTTTAATGGCTTTCCAGAAGGTAAATAAAGTAAAGGATAATTGGATGGGGGGGAATGGGGGGAGAGTGAAGATCAAGAATAAACACTTTATAAGGTCAAGCCAGCAGTGCCGAGCCTGCAGTTTAGGTGTTATACAGCTGATACCACTTTTACGAAGTTTCTGTGTTGTCTTCAAGAGCAGACACAGGCACAGTACACTGCAACTTATCTGCTATAAAAATATTTCAACGATATCTTGAAACAGTTCCTTAAACATTTGTTAACTTGTGAGTTGCCCAGAATCATGTAAATGACATGGGTGGCTATATAAATTGAAATAAATAGATAAAAACTAAACCAGAAGGAAGGAGACAGGCATAGACTTGGCTAAAGAAGCACTAGTATTAGGAAGATGGTGGCTCATGATGATAAAGAGGGTTGGGTCTCCTGGACCTAATTCTGACCAACAGAGAAGTGGATTGACTGAATGTGTCAGGCACCTTGGGGTCATGTTCTGGAGTTCACAAAAATGAAGGAAGGAAAAAATGGAGAAAATTAGCCATGTATGCTGGACTTCAAGAATTGAATGTACTTAGGAGAAAGATGGGCAGCATGCAGTAGCTTCAAATCTTAAAAGATAAACAATGTGGATGGGACATCCTGAAAAACAAGATACTGAAAGCACAGATCCAAGCAATCCCCAGGAAAATGTAAAACTGGAAAAGCTTAAAGTGGTATGGTTTAGTAACAAGCTCACTGTTAAGTGAGGAGCAAAAAAGGAAATTCATAAGCAATAAAAGCAGGAGCTAATAACCAAGGAGAAGAACAAATGAGTAGCTTGAGCCAGTAAGGATAAGGTCAAGATGGCTAAAACAGGGAGATGAGGCTGGCAAATAAGGCAAATTAGTAAAAGGTAATAAATAAGAGTAGTAGCTGTTGCTCTGTTGTGTTGGGAAGGTCTGGAAGTAATAATAGGCAATAGTGAGACTGCAGAACTACTTAATGCCTTTGTAGCTTCTATCAGCAGGAGAGAGCTCTTCGAAAATGATTGATTAAAAGGGGAAGGGAGAATGGAGTTCCAGATTAATAAAAGTAGAGTAAGAACCCAAATAGATGCTGTCAACAAATTCAAGTCTCTGAAACCAGATCAATCACATCTCAAGGTGTTGAAGAATTGGGTTGAAGTGCTCTCCAAACCCCTGACTGTAATTTTTGAAGGCTCTTGGAGAACTGGTGAGGTGCTAAAAGACTGAAGAACAAACGTAGTCATAGTGTTCAAAAAAGGGAAGAGCAAATCAATTTCACTGGGCAAATTATTAGAAAAAATCAAGCAATGCAACCATTACCATTACCACTGTTTAGAAAAGAATGCACTCATTACCAGAAGGCAGTATAGCATGAATTTGTCAAGAAGAAATCATGTCAGATTAGTACAGTTAAGGGAATTTAACTGATTTAAAAACTCACTGAGAGTACTTATGCATCATTCTGGATGGAAGCACTAAGAAGGTCTTTTAGAGCTTTGTCTTCCACCCTGGGCTATTCAATGTTTTTATAAATGACATAGAGGATAAAATGGAAGATCAGAAGTCATCAGATATGCAGATGACATCATACTTGGGGAATTGGCTGATAGCTTAGAGGACAAAATTTGATTTAAAATAGCTTTGATGGGCTTGAAAATTGGGCCAAATCAAGCAGATGATGTTCATTGGTGACTAGTGTAAGACGATGATGATGATTTTATTACATTTAATATAGCTGCCCACCCAAGTGGGTTCTGGTTGGCTTACAAAATCGAATTAATAATTAAAATAAAAACATGAAATGGAACAAAATAGCCTGGAATAAAAACAACCATCAGAACCAAGCATGCCACCCCCCACCCCCCCAACACATTAACCCCAGACCTGGGATCAAAGCCTGGGTTTCAAGGGCTTTGAACACCCTGCTTATAAGGAAGTAACAGGTTGGAGGAGTATGTGTGAGAAGGATCTAGGAATATTAGTGGACCACTAGCTGAATTTGAACAATGTGATACCACCATTAAAGGACAAGGTAATTGATTAAACTATTAAGAGAAACTTCAAATTATAGAAGGAAATAATTCCACTGTACATTGCCAAACTTGGAGAACTGTCTAATTCTAGTCCCTCTTTAAAAGAAACATGGAGAGGCTGGAGTAGGTTCAAAAGTGAACTGGCAGGATGATAAGGGGTTTGGAAATCAAGTCTTAGGAGCCAACGACTATGGTGGAATGAAGAGCTGGCAAGTAGATCAGCTCTTCATAATTCCTTTCCAGACAAGGGGAGGACTTGAGATTGCCCACAAGTGCTTCCATATGGTTGCTCCTCCCAAGGAGACCATAGGATAGCAGTCTCTGGTAGGTTTAGAGCTCTGGAAGATGAGGGAATAGCTATCTTGTTCAACCCACAGTCGTTGCCTTTAAGGATACTGGGTTCGCGTACTTTTCTAATCGTTTTTGGAAATTGTTAAGTACTTTTCATCTATTAGGAATCATTGGATTAACAAGTTTTACAGCACCAGGTGAATTTCCTTCAGTCCTTAGCAAAAGAGATTTTAAACACAAGTTGAATGACTTAATTTTTTTTTTCTGGAATAATCAACAAAAGGGTGATTAAAACTTTGATTTTAGAAAGTTACAAATGGACTAAGGGTCCAGATAAATTTGAAATAAGATTTTGGAATTAATTATAAGAATCCTTCCCATGGGAAAATACTTTTGTTTTTAATTCTTTGAAAAAAAAAAAGCATGATACGATGGGACTTAGAAGGTTGGACACTAGGGGAGGAACTAAAGGAAACTAAGGGTCCAGATAAATTTGAAATAAGATTTTGGAATTAATTATAAGAATCCTTCCCATGGGAAAATACTTTTGTTTTTAATTCTTTGAAAAAAAAAAAGCATGATACGATGGGACTTAGAAGGTTGGACACTAGGGGAGGAACTAAAGGAACTAAAGATTACAATTAAAGGAGAGAACACTTAAATTTGACTTACTATAGAATGGAGCAAAATATTTTAACATTTGAAATATTGAAGGATGTTTTTGAACAGTAGACCCAGAAGTTAATTTTAAGAATGTCTGCCTCTGTAGATAGGCTGTGTTTAAAAGATGTTATGGAAGAGGAACAAGTTTACCAGACAAGATTGAGACTGATCTGAAAGTGGATTTAAAAATGACAAGCTACAAAAATGATATGGAAAAAGATGCTACGCTGGACATACAAAAGAAACTGGCTGATGTCTTAAAAGGGATATACAAATAACAAACCAAGAGAGTGTCCTGGATAATCTTCCTATATTGGACTTACAAAAGAGGCTTGTTAAAGCTTATAAGTGACTCTAGATGGCTCACAAATAAAAACCATAAAAACAGTAAAAAACTTACAAAACAAAGTTAAAAGATGGAGAGAGCATCCTCAAGTCACCAGCCACCCACAGTGCTGGGAGCCCCCATTGGATCTCCACGCTAGTCAGAGCCAGGTCTTAATGCTCTTCCAGGTGATATTCTATAAGGCGGGGGTGACAGCAGAAAAAGGTCTCCTTCTAGACCCCATTAATCGAAATTCTTTAGCTGGCAGGGTCCGCAACATGCTGTTCCTGAGGTACCGGGTGGGATATGCTAATGTAACTAGAATGGCTCCTCAGGTAACTTGGGCCCATGCCATAAAGGGCTTCATAACCCACACCTTGCATTAGACCGAGAAGCAAACTGGCACCCAATGCAGCTCATATAGCAGAAGTGTTATATGCACAGCCCTAGGGGCACCTGTAACTGCCCGCATTGTCTCATTCTGCACCAGCTGCAGCTTCCGGATACTTTTCAAGGGTAGCCCCATGTGGAGCCCATTGTGATAGTCCATGTGGGAGATGATCAGGGAATGAGTAACCAAGAGAAGGGCTTCCTGATCCAGGAAAGGGTGCAACTGGGACACAACATGAAATTGAGGAAAGGCCCTCCTGGCCATGACTGCCACCTGCTCCTCAAGCAGGAGTCGTGAGTCCAGGACAACCCCCAGATTGTGCACTGGGTCGGTCGGGGCAGTGCAACCCCATCCAGAACCAAAGTTGGTAAAACCCCAGATACGGA